TGCCTCGATGGCATCCTCGGGAACCTCGATGCCGTTTTCTTGCAGATAGGCAACGTTACCGACCAGCGCCCGATAGCGGTTACGGTCAACAGCCGATGCAGGCTCAACGAGGGCGTTGATACCTTTACCAACAGCGGCCTTGAACTCGCCGACACTTCCTTCAATAGCACCATCGACCTCGATATCAAGCTCCTGGCGAGCTCCAGCGAGAATGGCCTTACCGATGGGATGTTCACTGCCCATCTCAGCAAGGGCAACAATAGCCCACCAAAGTCGACGTCGCCACTCATTATCATGCCACTCAGACTCGAGGACAGAATCGACAACGCTCATCCTACCATATGTGATGGTACCAGTCTTGTCGAGGACAATCTGTGTAACCTTGGTGGTCCTCTCGAGAGCAGCACCACCCTTGATCAGGATACCGTTCTCAGCACCAACACCAGTACCAACCATGACGGCAGTGGGTGTGGCTAGACCGAGGGCACAAGGGCACGCAAAAACGATGACAGAAATGCAGAGCTTGACGCAGACCATGATCTTACCACCGCTGGAGTCCTGCAAGAAGATCTTGGGTGGGTTCGGAAGCACATGGCTAAGAACCATCCAGCAAAGAAACGTGCCCAAGCCGAGAAGGAGTATAGCAGGGACAAAGTAGCCTGCAAGAGTATCGGCGAGTCGCTGGATAGGTGCTCGGGTGGTCTGGGCGTCTTGAACCAGCTTGACGATTTGGCTGAGTTGAGTGTCACGGCCAGCACGAGTGACTCGGAAGTCAATACGACCATCACCATTGACGGTTCCGCCAATGACGTTATCGCCAGCTCGCTTCTGAACAGGCATCGCTTCACCTGTCACCATACTCTCATCTACGAAGGTCTCTCCTCGCACGAGGACACCATCGGCAGGGAGCTTATCACCAGGTCGCAGAATGACAATATCACCAAGCTGAAGAAGCTCAGTAGGAACGTATCGCTCCTCCTGGGCTGAGCCGCCGAGTGCTGGTGTCTTGGGAGTAGTTGGGTCCTTGTCCCAAGCCTCAGCGGCCTTCTCGGCAGCAATGGGGTCCACGTAGATCGTAGCCATAGAGGGTGCCAGAGACATAAGCCGAGAAAGAGCCTTGGATGTCTGGCCCTTTGCGCTGTTCTCAAGGTAACGACCTAAAGTGACGAAGGTGATAAGCATAGTGCTGGTATCGAAAATGGTACTTGGCCTGGTGTGAGGAGGCACAAGTAGAGAAACGGCCATTGTCAAAATGCTGAAGAAGAAGGCACAAGATGTTCCGAGGATAACAAGAACATCCATTGTTGGTGAGTGGTGCTTGAGTGACTTCCATGCTGAAACATAAAAACGCTTTCCAATGCCGAATTGTACGGGTATCGTAAGGACTAAACAGATAATATCTCCAAGAAACAGGCCGGGAACTAATTCCAACTTGCCAAAATCGAGAGCTGGCACGCACATAGGCAAGATCATGCCCAGAATGAAGACTGGGATGGCAAAGGCCAAGGAGGTTCGGAAAGCCGTTCTCCACTCATTGATCTCTCGTGTCTTCGCAAGTGACTCGAGCTGTGCACTGTTGTCTTGGTTATCGGCCACAAGGGCATTGTATCCCTGAGCCTCGACGGCTTCCACGATGGCGCGAAGACCAATAACACCAGATTGATGAGTGACGGTGAGGCGTGATGAAGCAAGGCTTACCGAAACTGAATCGACGCCGTGCATGGACGCCAACTCAGACTCCAAAGCCTCTGCTGCAGCCGCATCGGGAACACCATAAACTTTGAACTGTGCCGTGGACGATGACCCGCTTTGATGATCATTGGTTGGCTGTGTAGAAAGAACTTCCGCATCGAAGCCACGGTCGTCGATTATTTCCGCTATTTGCTCAGGCGAGAGTTTGGTAACATCGTGTGTAATAACGGCTCTTTCCGCGAGAAGACTAATATTGAATTTGAGGACGCCTTCTACGCCCTTGAATCCACCCTCAACAGCTGAGGTGCAAGCACCGCATGTCATGCCTTCGATTGCTACTGTCGTGATGGCGATGTTACCGGCGTTTTCAGTATCCTTGCCAGATTTGTCAGCCACCACTTTGCCGGAGTCGACAATTGTAGCATCGAAGCCGCGGTCCTCAATGATTTCGGCGATTTGTTCGGCAGTGAGAAGGTCGGGATCGTGTTCGATGACAGCTCTTTCGGAGAGCAATGAGATGCTGAAGCTCTTGACGCCAGGAACATCTTGGAAACCACCCTCAACGGCAGAAGTGCAAGCTCCACATGTCATGCCCTCAATGGCAATGGTCGTCGTAATGAAGTCATTATCATCTTCGTTATGTATAAAGCGTTTGGCGACAGGGCTAGGAAGGTCGGTCGAGAGGACTTCAGCGTCGAAGCCTCGGTCTTCGATAATCTCTTTGATTTCGTCGGCGGAGATAACTTGAGGGTTGTGCATGATGACTGCGCGCTCCATAACCAAGCTGACTGAAACGTTTCCAACACCATTGACGCCCTTGAAGCCAGCTTCAACAGCAGAAGTACATGCGCCGCATCTATAGAGGAAACAGGGTCAGTGTTATATTCCCGAACTTGTCGCATAAACTTGGCAGGGGCCCGTAAAAGCCGAACGAAACTCCATAACTGGGTCCCGGGATGACCGGAGGAAGTTGAGGAAAAGAATAAAACTGCGATCAAACTCACGTCATGCCGTCCACGCGAAGTGTCGTTGTAGCAAGATGGGCGCCGGCGCCGGGACTCCTCGGAACGGAGAGCGCGACATTATTGTTGTCCTTGTTAGGGACTTGGATGTAGGCGGGAGCCATCGCGACGGCTTATGGCTCGTGAGCCTCGTCTCGAGGATCGTGAATATGTTGCGATCCCAGAAGCCAAGAGATTTTGGTGTTGAAGATTGATTGATTGTCAGATGGCGGCGGAGAGCGGGATGAACGGCACTTGTGGTCTTGGGTCTCACTCTCGCGGTTAGACTCGTTTGGTGGTTGGTTGCTAATAATGGAATGAACGGGTTCTAGTTCAATCGTCCAGCCACGGTCATTTCGATTTCGTATAGATTTCGACGCAAATAATAAATCGAGCAGCAGCTCGGCAGAAAGAAAGAAATGAGATAAAAGAACAGTTGTTGTGATCGATAAACAAGGAAATCGGAGGCCAAGATACTGAATCAGGCCTGGACTGGAAGGTTACAGCTTATGCCAGTTGATAACAAATGCGCCACTAAGACCACGAAGACCAGCTTCAATTGCTGATGAATGTGTGTACGTATGTTGGCTATTTTTGGCGTTAGTCAGACGAAAGAAAGAGAACGAAATGAATGACCACTTGGGTACGAGAAGAAGAAGAAGACACCAGGCCCAGAACAAAAGGACATGACATGAGCAAGATTCCAAAGGACGGCGTCTCGGCGTTTTAACTACGATTCAGGGGGAACACTCACTACTATTAGCAAGGAAACACCAACAAAACAGTTCGCGAGGCGAGAGGCCCAAAAACCATCACATCCGGGACGAGTCTTGGCTCAGCGGCTGTTACGGTCAAGTTCCAGTTTGGGGTCTGTTTCCGCTGATATCCAAGACGGTTTGATACCTCTCGTTGGTGGATTTAATACAAAGATGCGACTGCTGGAGCACCAGATTTCTTGCTTGCAGGGATGTTTCACTAGAGACTCAGAAATTCCCAAACGAGGCCCCGGGTTCTCTTTGAACAATGGAGATGAATAGGGAGTTTGGGGCCGGAAAATGCTGAAACCTGAGACAAGGGGACTCCGTTATTAAAGAAAACCTGGTCGATTGGCCGCAATCTGTTAGTGAGCAGTGACAGGTGCTCAGACAGTTCAAAGAAGTCTGTGAATGGTTGTGAAAGAGTGAGCATTGAGATTGCAACCATAGCCACAAGGCGAAGGCCGCTGATGTTTATACCTGATCACTACCTATTATTATCCCTCCTTTATTTCTCAGTCACAAGGTGACTAAAGTTCTGCAATGGCTCACTTTCAGCTGGCCTTTTATGGCGCCATCTCTTGTCCTAAAAGGCGCAAGTGTCGATCATTCAAGTTGCAACCATTCAACACCCAGACTGTCCAACCAGCTTTTACCCTTCAAGAACTATCGGAACTAGGCGCACCGACCTCTCTTTGGGAAGACTTCAGCTTGGCCTAGAACTGAGTATGAGTTGAGTCTTCAATTTCCTGTCATTGTCGATCCCAACTCTGCCGTGAACCTCTAGTCGACTGCCGCCAATCATCGTGTACCTTTGAAATAGCAATGTCTTACTATATGTAAGACGCAATAACGACCAATTGTGAGGTCTTGCAGGCGGATCTTACACGTTCCGGCAATTGATAGATGTGTCGCGTGTAAGGCTACAGGCTGCACATGCAGTCAGCATGCCTTTGCCTTACAGCCCATCAGCAGTACGACTGCTAGACTCGGTGTCACTTGTGGTCGAACTTAAACTGCTACCAAGAGAGCAGAGGCGAGTTCAGCAGTGGCTGAGTTATCTTATTTCTGAGGTGGCTTCTTGTCGGTTTCCTTGACAATGGACGGGCTGAATTGAGTTTGTACATGATTTACACGTCCAACGACACAACCGAATACTTTATCGAATACTTGTTTGGTTGCCTTTCGAGAAAATGTGTTCTGGTGTTGTAGTTTGCGATAGTACTGAGGTGAACGAGTTGGGAATCGTTTCCTAGATAAAGTCCACTCTCGCATATACGAGCCACGGTATGATCATGACTGGAGTGTCGAGCTCCGGCAACAAGATTTAAAACAGGTTCTTGAGTGACTCATATAATATGAGAAACACAATACAGGTCGAAGAGCTCCAAGTTAAGATTGAAGAACGAATTCTCAAGATCACAGTATAGGGTAGTCGACTTCATGTTGATTAAAGACCCCACGCTCAATTCGACCCCACATCCTATGAGCCCCGCGCCCACCACACGCTGCCTGCCTAGCGCTCCAGCCTCACCTTGAACTAAGGTAAGCTCCAGTACCATCTTAAACTTCCATCGACATACCACTTACACAACTTGCGACTGTCAACATAGGGCATTTCCTAGGCCCGAGCCTACATTGGAGGGTAAATAAGAGTTCAGGAGCTTACAGGCTTTCACTACAGTCACTACCGCCAGCTTCTCTCTGCGCTGTGACGTACTTGATATCCGTCATACATCCACCGAGGCTGTAGCCTCAACCACAACACATCATGGAGCAGACGAAGGCTCTTAACGCGCTGGAGGTATGCAAGACGAACGAACAAAATGAAAATAGACTAACAGTTGTGATAGCCATTCATCGCTCTCTCCAAATCAGCTACATCTCCCCGCGCAGCTGCCGATCTCGTCACCAGAGCTACATCAGCACCAAACACATTCCTCTTTAGCGACCTCCTCCAAACACCCGCCATCCAGAACCTCGCCGATTCAGAGTTCGCTTCTCACCTCACACTTCTCCAGATCTTCTCCTATGGTACATACTCATCATACAAAACGACAGAAGGCTTACCAGCGCTCGCCGAAGTACAGGCAACGAAGCTACGGCAGCTATCGCTTCTTTCACTGGTACGAGACCGACAGAATCTCTCCTATGCTGCGCTACAGGATGCCCTGGATCTACCTGGAGCACGTGAAGTCGAGACATTGGTGATTTCAGCGGTCTACGCTGGTCTTCTCCACGCCACGCTTGACCCAGCTCGTGCAGTCGTGCAGGTCTCTAGTGTTGCGCCTCTACGTGATCTCGCCCCCGGAGCTATACCTGACATGGCCGCTGCCCTGAAGACATGGTCTGACCGCTGCACCACCACCCTCGACGCCCTCGATCTTCAGATCAAGGAGATCCGAACAATAGCCGCAGCTCGACAGCGTGAGCAGCGCTTGGCGGATGAGAAGTTACAGCAGTTGATGAACGAACAACAAGAGGGAATTGGACCACGCAAGTACGATCTGCCAAACATGACACGGGATCCGGTGGGTAGACGGGGGTTTAACAAGCGGTCGGTTATGGATACAGGTAACTTGGTGGACAGCGACAGTATGGATGTCGACGAGGCTGAAGAGGAGAAGAAACGAGCAAACAAGCGCAAGCTGTAAAGATACTATTCCTCTTTCGAGCCACGAGAACCAAGAGTCAAGCTCACAAAACATGTATCACGAAGAATCATGACATAATAGACGATACGACGCCTTTTTATTAGCCCTACATCCGTACAAAATGCCGCCCTGAGACTTGTACTAATTCTAATGACCTGAAGGTCATTAATAAGAAGGAAAAACGCATGGTCGGAAATGATTCAATATCATGTTCCAGACCGGGAATAGCTAAATTACAAAGAAGACCTGATTGATAAACAGTAGATTTCCGTACGCCAGCCTCCAGAAAGCAACGCCCGAGCTCAATCGAGAGACTGGGATAGTATTGCCGCTTAATCAAGGCCCCTGGTCATTACAGTCGTGAATAGATATGATGTCCAAAGAAATTCTCGCGGAGATGGCTTTTCATTTAGTGGGAATTCGAAAGGCCAGTAATGGCCGGCATTAGTGACCGCGGTTGAATGTGAAGAGTAGTTGCTTAGAGACGCTTTCCCGGAACAAGGATGAAGAGAACACAGAGTGCAGCATCGATGAGAACAGTCACTGCGAGAACCATGATAGCACGCTTGGCGATGAGCTTGCGAACGTAGGGTTCACGAATGCGAGAGAAGTTGAAGGGGGTGTACTCGCTGTAACCAACCAGGGCCATGATAGGGTCCAAAGAGTATTGGTATGACGCAAGGAAATAAACACCGACGGTGAATGGCAGGATGAGCTATCGAGTCAGCAAGTTTTTCATCGCTGGATTGAGTGAGAACTTACCCAGCATCTGGTTGCACGAGAGTAGTCAAGGAAAATGAGAACGAACGCAGCCCAGAGGGCGGCAAACATGGCAATAAGACCAAAGATAAGTCGCATGATGAGAGTAGGTGGGATAAGGTTGCCTAGAGCCTTCATTCGAAGGAAGCCTGGGAAAGCATCTCGCTCCATGGCCTGGAAGACATAGTCCTTGGCAACATCGAATACCTCGGGGTCATCACGACCGTACTCTTCGATTGCGGTAGTAACTTCTGCGGTGATAGAACCTGGGAGGGTGATTTCTCGCTCAGCTCCAGGAAGAAGGAAAGTGTAGAGGATTTTCTCAGCTGAGGCTCGGATGTCCTGTCGCGCAACGGTATGAGCGGGCGAGTTGGATTCGGTAGTGACTTCGTGAGAGTTGCTGAACTGAGGACTGGGTCTAACAGGCGCAGAGGCACTCTGAGGTGAATCGTGACTTTGGTCCTCTCTAAGGAATGCAGACATTTGCGCATCTTGGTTTTTCTCCTTCTCAGTCGCATACATGGACGGACCTGCCGTTCTAGGTTCCAAGTCGCCAATATTCTCCAGGATAGCTGAAGATCGTTTCGATTGTGCTTCGGGAGTACCAATAAGGACGGATCGACGAAGTTCGCGAACATAATGTCGGCATAGCGACATGTGCTGAGCAACATCGAGCCTGGCTATGTCAGTTAAGCTCTCTGGAAAGTCAATCCTGCATGAACCTACCAGAAGTCGAGATAATCCACCGAACGTTGTTGATCGCGCATGTAGATATAGAACGAGAAAAGGTCAACGGGAGGGAGAGTGCGACGACTCAAGACCTCAAAGAGCGTAGGCAGTCGGTTTCTCGTCATGTCGGGCTGAGGCGACGGCGATGCCATCGTGGCAACAGGTTCGTGTTCGGCCATGTCGGGCGAACGTATTATACTTGTATCGAAGGTCAGAGTGAATGTTAAAATGAAAGAGGCGTTTCTGGCGCGCGGAGCAACTGCCGGGAAGCTTTATGGAAGGGTCCGGGTACGCGAAGTTCCCCTAATTACGACCGACGACAGGACGCTAAGTCTTGTCGAAGCAACCGCACACTCTCCTAAGCAAAGCAGTCCCTGAATGAGAGAAATGAGACGCTTATGCGCAAAGGATGGCGATATTCGCGGTGCCTTGAAATTAATTGCCCCAAGCTGGAATGATGGAATCGTTATGCAGCAACGGCCAAGATTGGATTGCTTCGCGGTAAACAGGACCAGAGGCTTAACGTGGACCATACAGTGCCTCTAACCCATCTGGGTTAGTTGTTTTTTCCCAACTGTGATCCGACCGCCATCACGTGAGAGTCTTGCGGGTCATCAGGGCTGCGCTCTAATTGGCTCGCCAGGCCCACAGAGTGCCTGCCGATTTCGAGGGCTACGCACAAAGATTTTTGGCAATTACTACTCCAGCTACTTCATCACACCTTCCTAACGACCAATCTCGAAGAGACGAGCCGCAGGTACGACTAATACTCCCTCCTCCCTCGAAGTCCTTTTTCTCTTAAGAGACTACGAGCACGAGCGACTCATTCTTTATCAACTTCGTCGACCGAAGGACTAACCCTCATATTTTTCAGCCATGTCGTCCAAGAAGCCCTCCGGCAAGACTCAGCGCTCCGCCATTGCGGATGTCGTCGCCCGCGAGTACACCATCCACATGCACAAGCGAGTACGTTGCCTCGCCAAAGAATAGCTCGAGAACCGGAGCTTGAAATATCTGGGTTAAATGCTAATGGGTAAAAGCTCCATGGTGTCACCTTCAAGAAGAGGGCTCCCCGCGCTATCAAGGAGATCAAGGCCTTTGCCACCAAGTCCATGGTACGACTATCCACCCCAAGAGCCTGATACCGAATGCGAAGCAATTGCAGAGGGCAAAGTTGTCATTTTGGAATCACACGTGCTAATCTCCATGACAGGGTACCTCCGATGTCCGCATCGACCCTCAGCTCAACAAGAAGGTCTGGGAGCAGGGTATCAAGGGTGTTGACTACCGACTTCGAGTGCGAATTTCCCGACGACGAAACGACGAGGAGGGTGCCAAGGAGAAGCTGTACAGCTACGTCCAGGCTGTGAACGTCAAGAACCCCAAGGGTCTTGCCACAGTCGTTGTTGAGGAATAAATATAAAAAGTTTCTCTTGGGACAGGTTCTATGGTGGCATGGCATTTGGAGTTGCATTCGGCATTCTGGCTTTTGACGCTGAATATACACAGAGGGAAAAAATGTGATCAAAGCTTGAAGTCAACACAAACGACAATCGGTGCCTCGGCGTGAAGTGGTCTATGGACAAGGCTTTTTTTATGAGGGCGAAAATAATCATTTACGTTCTGACGTGATGATGCGAATGTTATGAACCGTCGATTAGAGGGTCTGCTATCGACAATGGTGTACATGTTTCTGACCCTATCAATATTCCCTCCCGTCGCTGTTAAACCAGCTGTGGAAATGCCATGCAATCCTGTAACCTAACAAAGCCATCAAACCAAATTCCGTACACCTGGTACTCCTGTTTCCTATACAAGTATTAAAGCATCAACTCCTGTAAGACCTAATTACTCGTCCTCAACATCCCGGTGACGTGCCAGCACCTTCTTCTGAAACTCCTCGGTGTCCTTGTCCCAAAGCTCGGCAGCCTCACCATTGAGAGGAGAGGCGCTGGTTAGATGTTAGTTGATTGTTCATCTTCAATACTGAATTGTGTACGTACTTGTTGGGCTCACCGAGCAAGCTCTGCAGACTCAGCAGGACAGTTTGGATGTTGTAAGCAGCGGTCCATTTGTCCTTGAGAATGTCCAAGCAAATACGGCCGGAGAAGTCGACATTAGGATGATAGATGGGTGTCTTGAAGAGCACCGTAGGAGCGGCGTAAGGGTAGTTGGAGGGGAATGCAAAGCTGAGCTTGAAGGTCAAGCCAGCGTAAGGAGTATCGTCGGGACCCTCGATGGTGGCAGTCCAAGAGAGGAGGTTTCCATCCGCAGAGGGGAAGGCAGAGACGCCGGGAGCGGGCGACGTCATGAGTTGCATCAACTCAGTCTGCAGTCTGTCTAGAGTCAGCACCCGTAGCGACCATAATGTCTCGGGACGAGTATTCACCTCTTGGTTGTGCTCTGAGAGTCAGGGCCCTTGTGACCAGAGTTAAGCTTGGCGGCCTGGACACTGCCGGGAGCTGAGTTCTGGCTATCCTCCATGTTGTAATCCATTGCGAGATGCTGATGCTGATGTTGTTTCCTCGAGTATAGCTGAGTATGAACAGATGCCGACAACCAAGAAAGCAGCAGAAGAGAAGATGCGATTATAGGTTGCTAGGGAGCGATAGGGAGTTGTTTATGTACAGATAACAATTCCGCAAGTGGAAAGAGGTGAAGATGGACGAATGCAGGGGCGATTGAGGGAGACAAGACGTTGGCTGTGGCGTACGCGGGAAGGGATGAATGCGAAGAGAAGGAAGGGTTCTGAGTTGTCTTTAAACGTAAGACGATGTGCAATAGATTGTTTTGGATTGCGACAGAATTGAATAAAGGGAAGGGCAATGATTTCTCAAGATCAAAGGCTCCAACTGTTTACCGCAGCAACCAGCGTGACCAGGGTCCAGGTGAATGAAACACCACAGCCAATGGTATCCAATACAAGACAGCAGCGCTGAAACTGTAGGGCATGCCTGCGCTGTGAGAGGATGCACAGGGCGCTAAGTGACGCTATCTTTAGGGGACCTGGGTCGGGGTCTCACAGCAACAAAAAGCACTTTACGCGGTGAATAAACACGGATCAACGCGTGCAACTTCTTGACCTGTATCAGGACAATATCCTCAACTGAACGATAGGTTATTGTTAAATAAGAATAATAGCAACACAATTCAAACCCTATCATAAAACTACCTACCTTTACACTATGGTAAGTAAGAAATTTCTTATTTAGCCCCTATCAATAGCGTATATCAAGTTTTTTTCCAATGACAGATCGTCAGTATCGAGGAGATGAATGATTCACAGTCAGTCACAGTTACTCAATCTGCTGTGATCGTCAATCTTGTATGACTTCATTAGAGTTCCCATCACTAACACAAACCAATGAATCAGTCACAATTAGACCCTCTACCAACGGATCTTCCCTTCCGAATCGTCTCCAAGACCGTGGGTCGAGGAGCATATGCCTCGTTAGTTTACCCCATGTTTCACTCACGATAACCGAGATGTTCACGACTGACCTCAACACAGCATCAAGAAAGCAATTCCCCTCGACGCCCCAACACCAATATTTGCTGTAAAGCTCATTCACAAGGGCTATGCTGTTAAACATGGTCGCATTTCTACCAAACAGTTGGCCATGGAGGTCTCGCTCCATTCACACATCGGCCAGCATCCCAACATTATCGAGTGGTTCGCTTCAGGAGAAGACGACATATGGAGATGGATTGCTATGGAGTACGCTGAAGGCGGAGATTTGTTTGACAAGATTGAGGCTGATGTCGGTGTCCGTGAGGATATTGCTCAAGTCTACTTCGTTCAACTCATCAGCGGCGTGAGCTTCATGCACTCCAAGGGTGTGGCACATCGTGATCTCAAGCCTGAGAACATTCTCCTCTCCCAAGATGGATCTTTAAAACTTGCAGACTTTGGTATGGCAACAATGTTTGAGTACAAGGGCCAGCGAAAGCTGAGCTCAACACTATGTGGCAGTCCACCTTATATCGCCCCTGAAATCCTTGCTTGTGGGCGTGCAGACAAGAAGTTACCGAACGCTGCCAAGTACTCACCAGATCTGGTCGATGTTTGGTCTTGCGGCGTTATTTTATTCGTTCTTCTTGTGGGCAACACGCCATGGGATGAGCCTTCACAAGGCAGTTGGGAGTTTCAGGAATACGTACGAACATCTGGCCGCAGCACTGATGCTTTGTGGGGGAGGGTTCCCGCAGAAGCACTCTCCTTATTACGAGGAATGATGAGCATTGATTCTTCAAAACGCTTCAGCTTTACTCAAGTGCGTCAGCATCCTTGGTACACAAGACACAACGCTCTCCTCAATTCGGATGGCCGAGTCACAGATCCCATTAATTTGGCGACACAGATGCTGGAGAATCTCCGTATCGACTTCAAGCACCATCCAACATCACAACCGTCTTCCAGCGACAACATGGACATAGATACTGGCCTGAATGCTGGAAAGTTCTCCTCTACTCAGCCGGAGACACCAATCGCTGATAAGGACTGGGATTGGGAGCGTCCTCCACTTCGTTCTATGGCCTCACCAGCCTCATCACTCCCACATACTCACGATGCGCGCCGAGCAATGCTCGATACACTCGCCGACGAGCCGTCTATGTCTCAATTCTCTCAGACTCCTGGTCCTTCTATGACTCTCACTCAACAAGCTCGTCGGTTCCGCGATATTTGTCCCCCAGAGTCACTTACTCGCTTCTTCTCGGCTGTGCCTCCGGCCCACATCATCCAGATGCTTAACGATGCTCTCCACCATCTCAACGTCCCCACGACGCATATTTCGCCTAATCCACATGGCAACCCTGTCGCTAAGATAAAGGTCAAAGCACTCGACGGTCGTCAACAAAGTTTGCATGGCGAGATTCAAGTGGACCGTCAGCCTCTGCCGGATGGTACTGAGGTCCTTGACATTCGCTTCGTCAAGGTCAAGGGTGATCCTCTTGAATGGCGACGATTCTTCAAGAAGGTGGTTGTTTTGTGTAAGGATGGTGTATACGTCCCCGAGTCTTAGAGAGGAGAGGGACTGTCTTGTAAAACTAGAACGAGACGCATTCATAGACGTCAGGGGTTAACAGTTGGATCATAAAGCTCATGATTAGACACAGCTATATACATAACGCGAGAACTTGAGATACCCTCAGGGAGCAAGAAAACTTCTGACCTTAAGGCGAGGTACCAAAAATACCTAGTCCAAGGTCTACTAAATCTTTACTAAATTTATGTCAAGTTTACCTAAGTCTTTTTGTCACTTGGGATAGATATCCTAAGTTTCCTTGCCTCCCCTAGGATACCAACAGGGCCCCGATAGCTCCTCCTCCTCAGGCGTTTGCCTTGCTATACTGCTCAACCTGGAGCCCAAAATGATTGAATGTGTTTATTCCTTCATCTTCTATTCCCCAACGTTCAAATTCCAACGACTGATTAGCATCTAATGAGTTTAGAATCTCATCCAAGTCAATCTCCAAGTTTGAATAGGGACCGGTGTCAAAAGTATAGGCTTCTTGAGGTACTCGAGTAGAGCTGTCGACAGGCATTTCTTGAGGGCTAGGGCTTCTCGAGGGCGACTTCTGGGATTCTGGTTGGCAAGTCTCGTGGTTTTGACTCTCGCGAAAAGATTCCATAATGCTTTGGAGGACATTATTGGCGACATCGGTGATCGTTTGAGAAGTGAGAGTTTGTTCGAGGATTCCATCGACTAAACTCTCTATCCGCGGCCTCATGCGTCTCGAAAACTCACGCCGTGCGTAGTCCTCAAAACTGTCTAACACATTCACCCCGGGCTGCTCTGTGTCTTGTTCAGGTTGTAGAGGACATAGTTCGGGATCTAGGAAGTTGTTCAGTGACCGAATGTCGAGATGACGAAATATAAACTTACATGGAGAAGGAATTGGATCATCTTGAGGGAAGAGAATCTTATACATCTCAACCCACTTCTCTTCTTCTGCAACTTGTGGGGCTTTCCCATTCTTCCTCTTTCTGACACGCAGTAATCTCTCTTGTTCTTCATCGATTCCTTCTTCTTCAGGCTCTTCACTTTGTCTTTGGCAAATAGTATCCGCTCGTTGATGTTCGTTGAGGTTGAAAGCTGATTTGAGGTCTTGCCTGCATCTATTGCAGCGGAACTTGGGAAGCATATGCCGTCGATATAGATGTTCCCTATGTAAACTGTCAGACGCCATTCTTCCATCCAATATGTTACTTTGACTTACTTGACTCGATGAACAGAGGTCCAACCCGGCCAGCAGCAGCTTTTCCACTGAGATGTTTTGTACTTCTCACGATTATGCTTGAAGAAAGGACAAACATATCTGGTTTCGATAGCATCACTGGGTTTCCCGCGCTTCTTCTGGGTTCGATCTGGCGTCTTGTCGTCCTCACCAAAACCATCATCAGAACCACTTCTCCGACGCTTTCTCCAGTTCTGAGTGTTTGATGACTCTCCACTACGACTGGCTGCTGTGACAACTGGTGTAGAGCTACTGCTCGAAGCTGACTGGCCGTTCCGAGCCCCGTGCCTTCGGAGCGTCACTACTAGCCACTCTTGGAGTCTCGCCATCAGTTGAACCACGAGTTGGTGCTTCTTTTTCTCTGTAACTGCAGACGATGAAGAGGCTTGGTCGCTGCTCCAGCATGTTTCAACGCTGTCTTCCGAAATCTCTCGACTATAGGCACAGTCAGAAGGATCTGGAGACTCCGGGAGGGAGAAATGAGGCTCATGGGCTGGCTTTAGAGCAGGCATATCGTCGAACTGAAATGGATCGAAATCCTGATAGTTTTGGAAAGACTGAGACAGTTCTCCGCTCAAAGGTATGAATTCTGGAAACTGGAAGTCTTCAGAAGCGAGAGGAATAGAGGGAAAAACTTCTTCTAATGGAGCATGAGTGCACATTTCACCCGTACTTCCAGCTGAACAGAAGCAACCACTATCTGTCGATACACCTCCAGTCGACCACGAGGTATCTGAACTTTCTGTTCGGCACATTGGTTTATTTTCGTCTGAATCCGAGGTCTCTATACTTGCAATCGGGACATGGGAGTTTTTCCAGAAAACTGCCAAGATGCTGCTCTCTTGTTCCGTTAGCAGATTCATGGCAGCTCGTTGATCGTTGTGTCTTGGGTCAGACATGCTGCATATGAAGCTGAACCCAGATAGGAGTATATCTGGTAGTTAGAGACGTAAAGAAAGACAAGATTTGATGGAATTGATCTTGCTGACGAGCCACTCATAAGTTTCTGAGAAGTAAGTAGACAATGAATTGTTAAACGACCTGGGGGTAGTGTGTTCTTATATGGCTAGGTAGTTAATTCGCAATTGCGCAGGTTCCCAATGGCGGGCGAACCATGCATGAGCGAAAAGGCAACAACGGGGAAGCGTCCTAATCAGCCAGTCAGATGGGTTGAAAACAAGCCCATGACTTCCATGTTCTGGACATTTACTCCTCTCAAACAATATGGTGTATACTGTATAGCCATCTGATTTGGCAACAATGAACAATAAACAATAGAAAAGCATAAGCATATTGGACAGTTTCACTACAGCCAGATTCAGCTTTGTTAAATTAAGCCACGTAAATAACTCAACGAGAGTGAAATGGTATCTTCGGATTCAAACGCCAAGTCTATCCGTCTATCTTGTTCCGTTCGTGATCATCTCATGACCTGCATGGCAATACAAATGCTCAACCCATAAAACAAATTGGTATCTCACATCCTCCTTTTCATCATCTTCAAAGGCTAGCAAAGCCTGTAGGTCAAAGTTCTAACCCAGAATCCCGTAACGCCTGCACGAAGAACTGGTTATCTAGGCGCCGCAAAAAGTTGTCGTTAATGCCCGTCATTTGCGGCCCTCCACCAAGAAATGACTGAAATTCTTCTGCCTGAGACACAATAGAACTTGAGCCTTGACTCATGCCATCTTGTGGCTTCTGGCGACAAGACTGCATACTCTCCATGAGTGTATTGCAAGCTACCTGGACCACCAAAGGTACCAGTGTAGGTTGCAAGTTCTTCATCCCACCGACTTTATCCCGCATGCGCTGCTCAAAATCAGACATGAGGTTCGTGCCAAAGTCATCATTGTTGCTCTTCTGTAAGCGATCGTAGTCTGGGCATTATTAGCACTCAGTTCTTGCAGTGTATGTTGTTGAACACTAACACGGTGTAGGCACCTGGCCCTCTCCAGGAAAGATGATCTTATATACATCATTCCATCTCTCTTCCTCGACCTCTTTAAGATCCGCTCCTGGGTTGCATTTTCTGGCTCTTGCATGTAGTGCCTTAGACTGACTTGCGTTGATGCCTTCCTGCTCCTGGGTATTGCGGCTTTGGACTTCGCAAGGCGCAGACGCTCTTAAGTGTCTAGAGAGCATCCGTTCTGTCTTGAAAGACTGGAAACAGCGCTGACACTCATGCTCTGGGAATGTATGACTTCGGAAGATGTGTTCCCTGAAGACGCGTTAGTTTACTCCTGGATGCCTCAAGGCGAGCATCACTTACTTCACTCGATGGACTGTTTCCCAACCAGGCCCACAGCAACTTCTTGAAGTTTCATAGCGTTCTGGGTCATGCTTGTAAAAGGGGCATGCAAATCGCGGCGTTGTAGAAGTCGTCTTGGATCGTTTCTTATCCACAGACTTCCCATCAGCTTCGTCTGTTGACGAATCATCGAGCTCAACACAGTCAAAAGCTCGCTTCTTTGACTGGCCAGGTACGGCAATCTCTTGTTGAAGCTGATTCATCAAGTTCACTGGTGGAACTGTCTCGTCCAGACACTCAATGGGTCTCTGTCCCGAAATTGGAGCCACGACATCCTCTTCAAAGAGGACTGTGACTTGTCGTGGCACATCCGCTGGCACTGGGAACAGGGAATTTCCATCACCTGTAATTATTCCCAGAGCGTTGTCAAACCACACAGGGTTTGTGGGATCAATGGAGTTGAACAGGTTAGCCTGGTCGCCTGTGACTAGGCTATCCAACGCCGCATCATCTGCGAAGGACACACTCAGTGATGAACCTAAGTAGTTGGCATTGTTATGGCCAGCTGTCCGTGATGTGTAATCCGAAGCACTGTGTCGACGTTGATGTCTTCGACCTAAGCTTCGAAGTTTTGATCTGGCCTTGAGTAGCAACCATAACCACCCAAGTCTTCGGATCAGAACTTTGTTGGCTTCAGTCTTAGTCGCAGGGACGAGGGTTTGCGACAATGAGCCGTGTTGAGGCCTGGGGTATGGCCATTCACCAGCTGGCGAGAAGCTTGGGTGAGCACTGAAAGTGGGTTGGCTGAGAAGAGCCATGTCGTAGCTTGGGTACCCATTGGTCGAGGAACTCATAGGCAAAGGCGACTCCGAAGTGTATCCATATTGTTGTGCACGAACATTGGTGTTGATAGCGCTGAGACCTCCTTGCACTGCCCAGGGATAATTGGCCACTCGTTTGTTATGCAGACCATCCTGAGGTTGAGATTGGGCAGTGAATTCGGGTAAAGGTGTAGGGTACGAGTACATTGAGGCGATGTGTTGGTACAGGAAATCGCCTTTGTTGATCTGAGGCGAAGCCTATTTATAGTGGTTGCTTCTTGGTGGGTAAACTGATTTATATTGTTGTACGGCGCTAGCCAAGTGATACTAGTTATGGTAAAGTATATATATATATGTTTGTATATATATCTTCTGAACTAGGTTTCAGGTTAAATGGAAATAAGATCTCGTTAAAGGGAGCCGGGAATGAAGAGAGGCGAAATTGAGATCCTGGGGGATAAGCTCGTATTTAACTTTGGAGGCCTTTGCGCAGCTGCGCAGTTGCCTCTGGTTGGTTGCGAACCAGGAGCTGAGATGGCAGCAAGGCAACGGGACCCTCTGAAAGTGCAACTTAACAGCCCCCAAAGTCCCTTATTTCCAAGATAATCTTGAGTCACAAGGGTTGAGAGCGGCTCTTTAGTCTTGGCTTTTGAATCCTTCAGAAAGACTGGCAGCCGAGTTTGTACTGAGTACAGAGGTTATGAACCCCTGGCTTCAGAGACAATTGGTCAATCGATTAAAAGAGAGTTCAACGAAACTCAGATAATGGTGATAAGCAGCCAAAAGAGACAAGATATTCTCAAAGAGCCTCAAAGAGATAACAAAGACAGTTAACAGAGTTGAGAGACTGTCATGGGAATGTCCAGGCTATCAAGGGTTGACTGGCATGGCACAGTCAGCTTGATTGAGGCTGTGGGCTCCCTCACACTAGCAGCTGAGTTGTGCATGGCTCACCAACTTGCATGTAACAGCACAACTCACAAAATGTGCTAATAAACCAACCAGTAAGCGACTGAATCGATTTGCCCAAATCCATTCTGGGTATGCCTGACGCCAATTTCTATGTATGCCCTGAAAAACGCCCGACGCCTTGCATAACATCATGTACGAGCATCCTTACTCAGCCTGCGTGACTGGTTCAGTCACTTGTTCATTCCACTCAAAGCCTGAAAACAACGTCAGCCTGATTTGGTTGAAAAGGGTTGGGGGCTATACGTTGACGACACATGGGGCATTGCCCTCTTGATGAATCTTGCTTGATCCATTCCAATATGCAGTGCTAAACACAAACACAGTCACAGTCAGCACATCAATATTCACGATAACAAGACAGAGATAGGTGAACTCGAACCATGTGAAAGTTGTGACCGCACTTCCCCGATACTGAGATTCATATTGCGTTAGTAGAGTTTATCTTTATCAAGATGGCCTGATGTTTACTTACACAGGCTGCAATCGTCGCCTGGGTATTTACATGTCGGACACGTCCCGTCAAAGTGGACCTGACAGATACCACAAACATCGTCTTCAGGTATATCCCAGCGCCAAGTAGCGACCGTATTCCACTTCTTGATGGTGACCTTCATGATGTTTCGGTGGAGGAAAAGCCACAGGATCGATATTGAAGAGATTAGGATTTCTGGGGCTAAGATCGAGACTCAAAATGGCCGTGCAACCTTTGAGTGAAGAAGGGTCAAGGTTTGAAGCACTAACGCAGACGTGGGGAGGCACATGAGCTCACGTTGACAAGGTGAGAGGTCCAACCCAGTGGATTGGGCTGTAGTGGTGGGTGGGCGCCTATCCGTTTGGCGCTTCAGTGACCTCATCCGCTGAAAGCCACCCACTGAACAAGCTGTAGCCCGCTGTAGAAACCCCTCCGACTCCGTCATCGCCCACCGTTGGAAATGACTGATGGTGGTGGTCCAAGCTCCTCACGATTTCGCCAACCTCGCCCGCACTTGCGCGAAAGGTATCATCCATCCAAAGTTGACTCGATTGGTCGTTAACCTCTCGTCATCAACCTCACTCGCCTCACGTCAAGTCCACCAGACAACTTTGCGGTACTATCCCGCCGACTAATGAGGACGCAGACGGACAGTTAAGCCTTTTGCTAACTGCCTTTTCCTACAGTGTCTGGCCTGCGAATATCTATTTCGTTTGGCTCTGACTCTTATCAATCGCTCAGGAACTTGCCCTACGTCAAGTCACTGAGTTCGAACTCCTACCACCTCCTCATATCCGAAACACAGCATCCTTACGATGGCGTCTATCGCATTTTGCCGCTCAACAAGAGCTGGCATTCCTCAATGGGGCTCCAAGGTTTTCCGACCATCCCTACTCATCCGCCGAAACTTCTCATCCTATCTCGTTACTCCGAAAGAGCTTCACGAAGCCCTCAAGAAGAACCCTCCGTCACCGATCAGTACCGATCCTCGAGTCATTCCTCTCTGCGCATCATGGTTTCTTCCTAACGATGACCGAACCGGTATCCAAACGTTTCGCGAACAGAGAATTCCCAAGGCCCGGTTCTTCGACCTAGATAAGGTCATTGACAAGCGCAGTCCCTACCCTCACATGCTTCCTAACCCTAAAGGCTTCGCTGCTGCCATGAGTGAATTGGGTATTCGAAAAGAGGACATTGTGGTGGTGTATGATAGCAAGGAGCTTGGTATCTTCAGCGCACCCCGTGTGGGCTGGACAATGAAGGTTTTCGGCCATGACAAGGTTCATGTACTAAACAACTTCAAGCTGTGGGTGGAACAGGGTCTGCCTACCGAGTCGGGAGAACTCTACAGTATCGAGTGTTATCCTTATCAGATTCCCGAGATGGAAGAGAACCGAGTTGCAAGCTTTGAGCAGGTCAAGGAAATCGCACAGGACCACAATAAGGAGGGTGCAGAGGGTGTTCAGATTCTTGATGCCCGACCCCATGGACGTTTCACTGGTGAAGCCCCTGAGCCCCGCGAGGGTCTTTCTTCTGGTCACATTCCCGGATCTATCAACATTCCCTTCAGCTCTGTTCTGGATCCTGAGACCAAGGCTTTCCTCCCCAAGGATCAACTGAAGAAGCTGTTTGCGGAGAAGGGTGTCGACCCTCAAAAACCTATTATTTCAAGTTGTGGTACTGGTGTGACTGCCTGTGTTATCGATACTGCTCTTGAGGAGGCTGGCGTTGGTTCCCCTGAGTCCAGGAGGGTCTACGATGGTAGTTGGACGTAAGTGCATCATTTGAAAAGTTCATGATATGGATTATGCTAACTGATGTGACAGTGAGTGGGCTCAACGGGTGCAACCTTCAGAAAACTTGATTGTCAAGACAACGAAGGAGTAATGTGACTTGGTGTCTGGTCTGAAAGATGGCGGAATACTGAGTAGTCGAGCTGCGATACCCTCATTAATGATGGCCTGTAGTGGACAGGCGTGTACGAAGAAGAGCATGGATTCACAATTCCCCTCCGTGGTTTAGTTCTGTGTCTGGTGCAGGTGTCCATTGACGGACGAGAAAAATGGCTTATGGTTGTCCTCTAGCATCCCCACACTTTTGCATTATTTTTCAGTATATATATATGTGTGTGTATACGTGAAGCAATTGACTGATGGAATTGTCAATACTGAGTCTGAGTCTCTAAACTTACAGTATCGGACCGGGATGTTGTAGTTTGCCGATCACTCATGATGGGCGGGGTGGCTTGCCCACACCGAGAAATGGACCATCCCCCTTTCGGTGAGGAACAAAGGTGAAGCCCACCCCCACTAATCTCACCTCGAATGCGGCCTAAAATTTAAGGCTTTCCGTTTCCATTAGGGCTCGCTAACGTGAACCTCCAAAAATTGTGTGCGCAATACCCCACCTGGCCAAAAAGTTCAGTATCGCCAACACCAACAGTAGCATCTTGCTCTTGCGCAGACCACATCTTGCCTCCCACCCCCCCAGCGCAAAACAACAAAAATCCTTCACAATGGCTGATCGTGGAGCTTCTCGCGGCGGTGGTTTCGGATCCCGAGGCGGTGATCGCGGCCGAGGACGTGGACGTGGCCGTGGTCGTGGTCGCGGCAAGAACGAGGAGAAGGAGTGGCAGCCCGTCACCAAGCTCGGTCGATTGGTTAAGGCCGGCAAGATCAACAGCATGGAGGAGATCTACCTTCACTCTCTGCCCATCAAGGAGTACCAGATTGTCGACCAATTCCTGCCCAAGCTCAAGGATGAGGTCATGAAGGTGCGAAACACTGTTCCATGAATTACACGAAAAGCCCCAGAACGAAGCGGAAATAGAAACCGAAAGATACGCAACTATTTGGAGGAGAAGCGGCTTGCTAACTCGTCATTCATAAACATAGATCAAGCCCGTCCAGAAGCAGACCCGTGCCGGTCAGCGAACCCGATTCAAGGCCATTGTCATCATTGGTGACTCCGAGGGCCACGTCGGTCTCGGTATCAAGACCTCCAAGGAGGTTGCTACCGCCATCCGTGCCGCTATCATCATTGCCAAGCTCAGCGTCATCCCCGTGCGACGAGGTTACTGGGGTACCAACCTTGGTCAGCCTCACTCCCTGCCCTGCAAGGAGTCTGGCAAGTGTGGTTCCGTCACCGTCCGTGTACGTAGACCAACAAAGAAACGAATACTCTCGAAAATAAAGGACCAAAAAAACTGACAATTTTATAGCTCATCCCCGCTCCTCGTGGTACTGGCCTCGTTGCCTCTCCCGCCGTTAAGCGATTCCTCCAGCTCGCCGGTGTCGAGGACGCCTACACCTCCTCCGCCGGTTCCACAAAGACCCTCGAGAACACCCTCAAGGCTACCTTTGTGGCCGTCTCCAACACCTACGGCTTCCTTACCCCCAACCTCTGGAAGGAGACCAAGCTCATCAAGAGTCCCCTGGACGAGTACGCCGACACACTGCGGGAGGGTAAGCGATACTAGAGCTAGAGCGGGAAAGTTTTATGCTGGGAGCTGGAAACTGGTGCCGCGGAGTCACGATTCCTTGTGTTTCATTGCATAGGTTGGCCGGTCAGGACACGTCGGATCTGAGGCTATGAGAAATAATGGCTTAAGGTCTGAATGAAAAGAAATTTCATCCTTCATGATTGCTTTTTTTGCAAAACGAACATCGGTCCCTCATTATTTACTTGCGTGTGGTGAAAAGAAATGGTGAAAATGAACGATTGAGCTAATAACACAAAACTAACCCCCAAATACCAAGTCTAGCCAAAGCACCAATACCTAACAACTAATACAAGGATAAAGCAGTAGACTGTACTCAACAACCGAAAAGCCGATACCAGTCACATATTTCACCCCGAACCAAACAAACTCTCTTGCTCTGACTCTTCGTCCTCTTGCTGCTGCTCCGGCAACTCCGACTCTGGCTCGAGAACCTCCAACTCAACCGGGTGAGACAGTATTTCAATGGTCTCTTGTCTGACTCTTAGCCGTTTAAATAAAGCCTCGGACAGGCCTTGTCCCCATGAATCAGCAGTGCTAGATTCTCCTTGGGTAGTCTCAGGTTCTGGAGGCAGAACAGAGGAAGATCCGGGCTCAGTCGGGAACGTTGGGACAATTGGTGAAGGTGCCTGAGCACGAGATGAGCGCCAATCTGGAGATGGGCCAGCCTCAGTTTCATCATAAAGTTGTGTCACAGCTTCTTCCATTTCAACATCTGAGCTTCCAGCAGAAGACCCCTCCCCTTCAGCAGGCTCATCGTCTGAAACCTCGGGCTCGCTTCGAGGCTTACTCTTGGGAATATCACGAGGATTGACCCTGGGCAGAGCACCGGGATCAACTGGAACGTTCTTACGACCAAATAGAGCACTTAGGCGCTGAGTCCAAGTCGGTGGTTCTTCTGTCTCCATACCTACAGCAACATGTTAGTCAGAGTTTGATGGTACATATTTCAATGCTTACCACTCTTGATAAGATCCTCGATATACTTCTTCTGCAGAGGTGTGTCTCCAAGGAGATATTGAGAAGACCCGGTTGTAAAAGTTCGACGAGAATCTGCTAGATCCTGGAACGTAACAGTGAACTCCTCACCAAGACCAGGGAAAACTTGGACTTGACTTTCGGGTGTGTCCATCCTTTCAGTCATATCAGGGTCTATAGTCGTGGCTTCAGGCTGGACTTCGCGATGCAATTCTCGTTGAACTCTAGGCAATACGGATGAAATAGGAGATACCGGAGGCGTAGCAACTCGTACTGAGATCCGTGGCGCCTTGGTAGGTTCCAGTGCCAGAGCCGAAGGAGTGAGATTGTAGAATCGTCCAGATCTAATACTCTCGGCTGTTGATTCGCTTTGCAGATGAAGCGGCCAACGATTGATATCCCAATATCGTGGTGCTTTGCTTCTGCGATCAGGATGAGCAAAGGACCAAACTGGCTCACGTCGACGAAGGGACTGAAGCCTCAGTCCCTTTTCATCTATACTGCGATCAATGCGGTTCGGGAACAGCATACTCTTGTTCTCATAAGCCTCGCGGAGAATTGCCTTCCGAACGACATCAACAGTAAACCTGTACGACCCGTTCTGACATCCGTAAGTGATTTCGGGGTATCCAAAGTCGCCAAAATCATCTGCGGGCTGGGATATACGCATGATTTCCGCGTAACTTGGTTTGGCATCAGTCCCCCATGGTATGTTGGGGTTATGCTGGGGCAATTCTGGTCGTGTTCTAGTGTCGGATTCCCACTGCCGCACCATTTCGTCGAGGAAATAGCGGTTACGACCTCGTTGTTCATGTGTAAGCTGACCTCTGTACGTTTCCATCCTTTCTCGAAGGTCCTTTGTCGTCCTTCCAAGTCGAAAGCAGAGGCGTTGGTAGAACTTGTGGTTTCTAGGCATATCTTTCTCACTAGCCTCTCTGCCACTCAAAGTACCAAGCTCTTCCCAACTGCGGAGGTTCTCAATTTTGGGAAGACCAAACATGTAGTTACCAAAATCCTCCGTCTCTGGGACGCTGACGTCTGTTGAGATGGTCATAATTTCATCTCTGTCGCCGCTGTCACTACTGTCACCACTGTCATCGCTGTTGTCATCGTCGTTTTCGGGCTGACCACCCTTAGTCGCTCTGACACCTTGCATATATGCGTCCAGGTCATCGTCAGTGTCGAGCCACCGAACACGTTGCTCAGGATGAAGATTGGGTGCAGAACATGATACACCGTTATCCTCGCTCAATCTGATCTGTTAGGAACTGGCTCATGCTCGGGATCTCGGATATAGGGGACTTACTTAATCACTCTCCTTTGGTCAAGAAGTTTCAGTTCTTCCAAGGCCTCCTCCTTGGAGAATCTCCAGCGCTTCACTGGTCCATCACATACCTCATTGAGTGACACCATGAAATTAGCAAAGTCGAAAGGCCCAGTATTAGCTGAGCCTATCGGATACATGATGTCCATAACTCTTTGTTCAAATATTACAGAGCGAGGATTGATTCCATCATGTTTGATCTTTGGGTTAACCGTGTTGGAATGAATAGATTTCATGCCCAATAGCCGCAAGAAATCTTCCTCCAAGGGGCGAATATGAGCCAAATCCTGTGAGTCAGACACTAAGTCTTCCCCTTTAAAATCCAGCTCCGTTTCATCCCAAGGCTTGTCCGAGAGTCCCTCAAGCACCAAGTGCGTCATATCGGCTAGAAAGGGTCGCGGTACTCGTTCGTTTTGTAAGAATATCCGCTTTAGCAGGGTCTCGCATCTCCTTAGCAACTCCAGAGTCTTCTTCATGTCGTGATCCAGAAAATCATAAACGAAAGGACCCATCCAGTTCTTGGGCAAATCCATAATGGGTTCTTCGCGTTCCTCCCACAACTTGTGGCCATAGCATTCTTTGACGGCGTGTTCATACGACCAGTTCTTCCAGAATCGCTCTGCTTCGTGGTACCATCGATGCGCCACAGTGTAGCTGAAAGGATCGCGAGACTCCTTTTCAGGAACGTCTGCTACCTGCATAGTAGGGAAAAGAATACCTGCGTCTGGCTTCTCTGGAATCCTGGGTGGTGGCAGAATAAGTGTGCGGAAAATGTTGCAGACTGCAAGATTCTCAGAGTTGTCCAGGTGGCCCAGGGTTTGTTGGAGGGCTGCTCGTTGACTTCCCCGGAGTGTGGCAAACGCCTGAAGAGCACTCGGACTGAAGTTTTCTCGGTTAGATTCCGACCTGAACTTGGCTTCAGATGCTCTGATCAGTTTGTCGGTGGTTGAAATGCCCGAAAAGACGCACTTCTCAAAAGCGTTGTTCTCAATCTTGACCAGCTCATGGCGGGGAGATTGTGAACGAGGTGCAGATCCCCAGAAGTAGGGGGCCTCGGATGCATAAATATCGACGTACTTCTCGAGAACATCACCAGGCAACTTGTAGTGAACATCGATGGCTGGTCGAATCTTGTTGAGGAGCAATTTTCGCTCACCCATTTCACCTTGTGGCTTCTCGACAGTGGTCTCGACACCAGAGATGGGTGGCAGCCTCTTACTATTATTTGGCCACACGTTATCAAATTTGAGATTCAGCTTGGGCTTGCCATAGTGATACTGCTCAAAAATCCAGTGTGTACGAAGCATGTCAATAACTTCATGGAGTTCTGCGCCCCATTCTTCGCCCTGCCAATTGTGAAGAAGGTATGAGAAATACTCAGTCAGTTCTGCAAGCTTTTGACCCCAGTTCAAAGTCCGGTCGATATCCTCATCGGCAAGGAAGTTTCTCGCTCGATGAAGAAGAATCTCTGGCGGCTCAATCTTCCATCCCTTGTAGGGGTAGAGGTTAAAGTCGTACTTTGGACCACCGAGCGCTTCAACAAAGTCTTTCAGCCAAGCTGTATTCAGTTCTTGGCGATATTTTTCACGTCCCGACCATTCAGTTGCAGGCTTGCTGCTGCCTTGGTCTACAGAGCCCGTTCGAGTACTAACCACGAAACCCGGTATCACAGGCTTCTTGGTAGTAGGGGCAGACTGACCTTCCTGATTATCCGCAGGCTCAGCAGGGTCAATGTGGATTGAAGGAATTCCACTCGAAGGGCCGGCGGTTGCTGGAGGAGGTTGAGAGGGGCGTGTTTCGACTTGAGGCCAATCCAACACACGACCCTCACGGCGTACTCTAGTACGAACTCGCGCCGGCAAGGTAAGTGTATTAGCCAAGCTTGCTCGAGACAGTGCTTATATAAAGTTAGCAGAAAACATGTATCACAATTTGTATGTTACTCACGCCGTGAAGACTCCCCGGCTTGCTCGTTTCGAGTCTCACGCAATGCCTCCTTTTGTGCTCGGCGTGGCGACTTTGACGATCGGCGACGTGACTCGGCCCTCGGTCCAGCTCTCTTTCTACCGCTCTCTAGGTCTTGAATCCATAATCAGTATATGGAACGTCTTTTAACGAGATTGATTCATACCATCACGGAGCTTTTTGAGGCCTAGATGGGGATATCTACTGTCAAATAACTTGGTGGCAGCAATCAGGCAATTAGCCGATCCCTCCATAAAGCTATCCAGTCGTCTATCCAAAATCAAACGCTTCAGTGTAGCTGCGAACTCATTATAGCTCTTGTTTTCTTGAAAGCGAGTGTATGATTGTTGGGCTTCAGGCGGCAGACGCTCAAAATCGAAGCGGAAAGTCAAGAGAATTATTTCTGAGGCATGTAAGTATATCCAACGCACAAAAGTCTAAATTCTGCCTTACCCAAGAGATTCTGAATCCTGTCTGATCGACGGGCCACGGGCGAGTTACCCGCCAAAGCTGGCGCATCTGAAGGGGGGTTGTCACCCAGGTTCAACCCTGGGATGCGCGGAGCGCTTCCCTCATCCATAGGCTCCGCCATGATGAGTTGATAGTGATTGAAGATACGGTATCAGACTCAAAGAGATGTTAGACAAGGGAACAATGATTGTGAAGGAGGTGGTGAGCTTCCAGGTCAGGTTGAAGAAAAGAAAAAGGAAGCCAGAGGAAGTGGGAGAAGGAATGAAATGAAAGAAGAAGAATCTATCTACCCTTCTTTCACCAGGTCAATAAAAGCATTAACATTTGCATCCTCTGCCTAAAATGAACAAAGGAATGCATTCAGGGACGGCCAGCTTGGGCATTGATATCTTTTATCATCTCATTCACAATAAATTCAACAAAGAAGTCGGCAAGCCCGCTCCGCATTGAGCAAGGAACTCCCGTGCAAATAAGCTAAGAATACACTTTTTTAAGACATAATTGTGACCGGGATGCAATCACGCAGGGTGCTTAGAATGAAGTGAAGGGTCGGCAATCCGTTGTTTCTTTGTTTGCCAACATGACGCCACAATCTAAGATGGTCGCATTGCCCAACGGTAAAGAGGACAAAGAATTGAACTAAATTCGGATCAACTGGCTTTTTATGCTGACGTAGAAAAACATACGGAATGAACTGAGACAGTCAACTCAACAATCCTTCATCCACTGCTCTCCTGTTTGTAGCGAAGCTATCGCGCAACCATGGCGAGAAAAAATGGCAGTAACACCAAGAAGGATTTCGGAAGACGCATTCACCGACAAATAGACGGCACGCCGCTTGCCCCTAGGCTCGGACAGCGTCCAGGAAGATCTCCAGCGAACCGTGAAATCAACCTCAGACTTAGACGAAGTCAGCGACTTCAGAGGAGTATGAGACCAGAATCTTCTCCAGTACCGCCTCACATGGGAGATGAAGTGGCAGCAGCAGCAGCAGCAGCGGAAAGCTCTTCTGCACAAATGCAAGGGGAACAGCCAGCAGCATCGACTAGTTCGTCCAATGCATCTGCACACATGTCCTCTGCTACTCATGAGCCTTTAAGGGCCCAAAGGCCAATTCCTCCGAATTGGAAACCACCATTGGCCATTGGTGAATCTCTTGGAGATAATCTGAGCCGCCTGGAAGAAGCAGAGCGATCAGCTCTTCAGTGGGAAGCTATAATCGAGAATGCTCGCATAACTCAGCCGTTAGCAGACTTATCTGGTCTCGAAAAACAACTGGACAAAGCCAGACAGAGATTCGCACAGATGGAAGAAACCGATGAAAACTTAATGCCTATGTAAGTCAGCTCGCTCGAAGGGATGTGGTGACATGTGGGCTGACCTTCCAGTGATGAGTTAGAGACAACCAAACGACAACGGGTTCAACAACGAATAAGTCTTTTGAACGCATCACTTGAGCGAAATGAATGTCCAGTTGGCAATACCAACATACGCGCCTCCATCCAGGCGTATCAGTCTGGACGTATCAAGTGCTGGGACAAGTGGACGCTTCTGTATGCTGGCAATGTGGTAGACTTCTGTCCCTCATACGAGTCTTTTACCCTTGATCGAGAAGAGAGGTTAGATCGATATCATAGCATGTACGGCGATGGTTGGCTCTGGTATGAGGCACCCTTAGCACCAAAGGGTAACTACCGACCTGAACAGTTAATGGCTGCCACTTGGGCCCAGCCTTCTGGGTTTTCCGGCGTCCTGTCCGAATATCATTCTCATGCGTGGGCCATTCATATGGGCTTCCAGCGCGTGAAGGGATTTCACAGTCGCGTAGCCTCAAGGTTGAATGACCCTGACCGTATGAAGAATGGAAAAGTCCTTCTGTATCAGACGAGAATGAGAGAGCATGGCTCACCCGGGAGAGGTACGTGCTTTGTCGAAGATGACAGTACGGCACCCCGAGTATGCTTTAAGATGCAACTCGACAGTGGGGCCACTCATCCTTCTCTGCACAATACCGATATGGACTATCTGGGCATCGACCGAAAGACGTACCCAGCGCAGACTCACGCTACAGTCGCAACTGCAAATTCAGCCACAGTTGCGGCGATGTATGAAATACGCGTTGACATCTGTCGACACAACGGGGAGTCACTCGTGGGTGAAGAGCCAGTCTTTCCCAATGATCGTCGACAACTTGGTGGGATCGTACCAGTCATGGTATTGGTTGAGTCAACAGAAGACCAAAGCGAACCATTGGCCGAATGGCATAAAGAGGCATTGAAGAATGGCGAGGATGTCTCCGAAGAAGCGATGGCCGCACGTTATAGGGGCGAAGACGAATCCCGCTTGTCTGGAATGCTTCCGTTTCAAGTGTGCTACTTCGCCGGAGTTCCTGGAGCATCAACCTTCTGGTTTGGAGAAGACCGGCGCGATGTACTCGGAGCAGATCGCATGCCAGGTCAGCAACGGTGGGAACGACACAAGAAAGCCCATACCACAGAACGCCCGGTCGAATTTGAGGACTTGGATCGTCCAACGGTTATATTCGAACACCAGGGCAACAGTATAAGACTTGTTGACATGGACTCTAAGGAAGACAAGGGTACAAGCATATTGAGCATTGAAAGACAAGTGACGTTGAAAGCAGGGGAGACCACGCATGAAAGAGCCCTGCCAGGCAATGGTAGTTCAATTAAGTCAGGGTCAACGAAGAAGAAAAAGAGAGAGTAATCATAGCTAGGTAGATGAGCTGCACTATTGTTCTGCGAAGACAACGAGTTTGTGTTTGGCAGAATTAGCGAGAACTGATACGGGCTTTCAGCTATAGCCCCATTGCACTGGATTTCTTCATATATAAGAATATGATGGTTATTTTGAGTATTTCTCGAGTCCAGGTGAAAAGTGATAGATTGAAGTTGTAGCAGCGAGGATGGGACTCGAGACATGCATAGATGGGTCTCCAGCCACAAGTGGCTCCTTCCTGTCGATCTTGATCTACGACAGCGGGGATAAACTGGGTTTATTCCCGCCCGCCACGATCTTGATAGAAAGTCAATGCTTGGCAGGAATGAAGCATTTGTCCCATTGACTAATTCAGTAAATATCAACACTCAGAGGAAGTCATGTCATATTGGGTGGAGATTGTTATATATATATTGGTACAATCTCTTGTAAGACGTCGACAGCGAAAACGAGGCTCGGTTACACACAGGTAATATAAAGAATGGAACTAACAATCACATGGATTCGATGGTCCAATCCAATGACAGCATCTTCATACTGTACCTTTCTGCTAAGCGGGTGCTGCAGCAACGACCGTGCAGCTTAAGAGCATTAAGAGTTGGTAAACGAGCTAATTAAAGAATAACTCTATTAAGCCAAGACATTACTTATACCGATGTCTTATACAGTAACTCTGTAAATATCGAGTGTCCAAATACATATTCATATACGAATATCATTCATTCACTCCGCTCTCATTATCGCCTCCACATATTTGTCTGGGCAGTCAGCCTTAAGTCTTCAAGACTGCCTTGCCGCGTGAGATGGATGGATTTCATCAAATGTTCTGATTTGGCAAAAGCGCTTTTGAATGCTGACAGGACCCTGAACCTGGTAAATTGATTACACGTCGAAAAGGGAAGAGTAAAAGCAGGCGCTTAGCATTAGGGATTAGGGCCTTTCACAGACGGCTGGGGGTTTATTGTTTCAGTGAAAAAGCAATACTTCTGCCACCGTTTTTCTTTGACGTTTCTTGTTTCTGTGAAGGCTGAGAGGGTTGCATCTTTCAGCTTCAGCTCCGATTTCCTTCCTTTTACCTGCATAAACTCCACTCTGCACTCCACGTTTAGGCTGAGCCTCCAGTGTCTTCCATCCCATGCCATTCCCATCCTACCGTATCCTAACCTATCCATTCTCTTTGGATCAGATTCTTCTTCCATTCTTTAGCTGCAAGCACTTCTGCCTATCGACCTGCTTCTTCCGGCTTCTGGTCCGATTCGAAGCTTGAACAACCCCTCTTCGAACGTCATCCTGGCTGGTGATGCTCTCGCCATTTTCAACAACATAGCGTCTTCCGATAATCTTCAACTCGTAGCGCTTCAAATTATTGACCAGAGCGCTGCTTGTTGCCCCCACCTTGATCTTGGCAACATTGACGCATTCCTCCAACACACCCGCACTCCAGGAATAGTACAATAATTCCAGTAGCTGGAGAGTAAACCGATCTGCTTGTTTTAGTGGGAGCTGAAGGCTGTAGCCTAGGACCCAACACGAGCACCCGTCGCCTTTCGCACGCAGCTACTGGTCTCGTCACCAGGGCTCCATAAGCTTTCCCCTCCACCAACCTACAGTATCGACGCTTAGCAACTCTTGGATTCATGAACACCACTACATCACCAATTTCTCAACATTTAAGCCCAATTCTGGCATCGCAACTCTCTACGTATCCTGGCTCTGGCGTAGCCCGACGCTTTCGTCGCCATCGGGGCTCAGCCAGCCGCCCCCTCCGTTCCCGATCCCGCTTCGTCGCCGTCATCTCCCCCCACTCGACACCGCCGCTCTAGGTACCGTTCCTCACTACGATACTCGGCTCACAGGGCCTCACAAACCTTAAGCCTGACGCTGCATCAACAAAACCACAATCATGTCGGGCCCTGCGAGCGTGAGGGTCTCGGGTCCTCCAAACAGTAGCTTTCTCGTGGGCTATCCCGGTATCTCTGCGACCCTGGTACGTCAATTTCAGCTTCAGCTCGTCTTTGCTTACGCCCTCATCCTTACCTCACCAGTTCAAGTGCGCCGGGCCTCGTTATGCTGACATTGCTGGTTTCTGTAGCCGCGCATCGAAGGAAAAGTCGAAATTCGCCCTGGTCAGGGTTTTTCCATGCCCGTACCCGTCTCCCTCGTTCGAATATGTCTTCAGCGCCGAGAAACAATACATCCCGATGCCGATAGCATTGCGAAACGACATCTAGGCGCCCCCCGCCGCGAGACTACGGATCTGGTCGGAAAAGAGCAGCTTCTTTTTCGCTGCTCATCTGGAAAAGAGGCTGAGAGGATCATTGCTATGGATCTACCGTTCGTTCTGTTTATTCCTTTTGGTCGCGGTGGCGAAGAGTCGAATCGGCGTATACCTCCAGCGTCCCTCCAATTACCCAGCCGAACCGCCGAAACATACTACGAGCTCGTCGTTACTGTCCAACAAGGCCACAGCAACCAGTACAAATACACTTTTCCGATACCTTTACAACGCTATGATACACTCTCTACCTTTGGAATGTATAACAAACCCGAATCCAAATTGGTTACCAACGATAATATCGTACACCTCGGCATCAATCTACCACGATGGAGTTACGGCCCCAGTGATCCCATCACAGTATATATCAAACTGTCGCCAAACCTCGACTGGCTAAGTAAAGCGAAACGCGTCACAATTGACAAGATTACTTTGACTGTTGAGGAGGAAATCACATACAACCCAGAAGGCGATGAACCTTCAAAGAAGATCAATAAGATCTCGAGACAGGTGCAAGTGGTTAAGACAAAGATGCCAGAGGCGGGCTACGCCACAAACGTCGGGCTGATATTTCCTTCCAAAGATCTGAGAGATCCAGAAGGCGTTGTTAAGCGAGGGAAGCCTCAATTTCCTCTTTACGAAGTCACATCGTTTACCACGACTTCTACCCTTTACAAAATCGAGTTCTACTTGGTTATTAAGGTATGCTCCGTTTAGTTTTCCGCGTCTCGTATGCGCTAACAGTCCAAGGTCAATCTTAGTGGTGCCCGAGATGTAACAATACGACAGCCGATTGTCATCTGCCCCTTAGATCAACAGGCCTGTAAGGAAGAGATGGACGCTATAGAACAAGCGGCCAAAGACGCCTCTCACGTCGATCCGAACAACCCGATGCTTCCAGCGCCGACTGTTATTCTTGCTAACGACCGCGATTCATTGCGAGCATTGGGTCTATGTATGGTTGGGGGTCAGAAGAAGCCATTCATTGAATGATGAGCTAGGAGGTCCAGGGATGGTTTTTAAGAACCTTTTTGCCATGCGCCACGCTCATCCAAGATGGCAGGACGCCCGTTGCGCCAATGAGCCGCAACTGAAGCCGCGTCGGGAGTATATCTCCCAAGCCAGATCGAGCGTAACGGCACAACGGTAGAGAAATGGGTCGCATGACGGCATAACAAAGGGCCTGGCGAGAACGGAACTGAGCTATCGAGGTTGCCCTCCAGTTGAAGTATACCCAGGGGTGTTTGCATTTTGGGGAAACCGGTGAAGAGGGGATAGGGCTCTTGTAATAACGGGCATAGTTCATGGCGTTCCGGGGGGCTCAAGGAAAGGAATGAGCACAGGCAGTGGGCAAGTGCACGATGTAAATGTTCCACATGTTGTAGTGATATGAATGAAATATATTGAATCTTATGAAGCCATGAGTTTTACCGGTTGGTCTAAGGAGTTATTTTCTGAGGGTATATGAGTAGAGTCAATGCCATACCCAGCATGAGGAGCTGAACTCGGCCTGAGGGCGATTGTGTCAAGGAAAACAATCCCTTAAAAGATAATGGGAAACAAAAGAAGGTCATTGTACTTGAGAAAAACAAGGAGCAGATTGTTCGAGAATCACAGACAATGACATGATCCTCAGGCATGGTCCTATAGAGACAAGCAGTACAAATGATCCTGATCATCGGTGATCGCTAATAACAAACAAATCAAACAATATGAAACGTTTTAAGCGATGATGGAAATAGCAAAAAGTGAATCGCTAGTTTGCTAACTGGAGGGTTCGAACCTCCGCGGTTTCCCACTGCGGGTTTGGTTTCTGATAAGAACCTAAACACAGCGCCTTAACCACTCGGCCAAGTTAGCGATGATGATTCGTTGGTTGTTAGAAATGGTTGCGCTTTCACAGTATATACTACCAGACCTTTGGTGGGGGCAGAAAATATCAATATTGAAGCTTTATAGCCTTGCATAAAATTATCTTTCAACATCACTTCACGCCAACCGACCGCAGACGATTCTCAACGCCTCCGAAGCCCTTTGCGACAGTATCTCAAGCGACTCGAATATCATCTGAAGCTTAAGAAAGCTCTTTCGCCATATAATCACCATGGCTTTTGACGATGACGATAATCCCAATACCTTAGCACAACCAGCTAAAGGCACCAGCGGCGCTGCTACAGAAGATGTCGACGATGATACGCCGGATGTTAATCTGTTCCTGTCCATGTTCGACAAGCATGGTGTATCAAGCAAAGCTATTCGCAAGGGCGAGAAGGATTTCGAGTCACATGGCACCCGTGCACAGGATGGTCTTCTCGAAGCGAGTCGCAATGTCTTGGATAATGTCCTAGGGTACACGAGGATACATCGCGAAGATTCCTGGGTTCGGGGATGGTGTTTTCCCGACTGGTGGGCTAAGGTAGAGGAAGCTGGTGAGAAGGAGGGCTTATGGCTGCGTGACAGAGTTGTCATGGTTGAGCATGAGCGCGGAACATGGCAGAAGGATATTGGAAGGGCGGTACCTGCACATAAGGAGCGTTTGGGTACGGGAAAAATCTGGCTTTTGCCTGAGGAGGCTATTTTTCTCATCGAGAGAGGGACTATGGATCTCTGGTGGCCAAATCGACAATTGGAGGATATCCTACCTCACGCTGATGGAAAACCAAAGACGGATATGGGACCTGACGACTATGATGCCGGACTGCCTTTGAGTCTTGAGGCGGCATACTCACTGTTTATCGGAAATGAGGGTGAGAGGGGCAAAATCACATTACCACAATACCAAGTTTACTCGCATCTGAAGCGAGCAGGCTTCTACATTCTACGCGCGCCACCCTATGAGGCGCCAACACCAACACCCCAGTCCAAGACTCTATGGCAATGGCTATTCTCATTCTTCAGCTCAGATTCGCAACCAAGGCGAAACCCATCTGGACCTCTTGTTCAGCCAGGTCTTTACCGCGCTTATAGACCTATCTACGACCAACTTGCCATTCTTCCCCGCCACAAGCCACTACCTACACCTCCCGTGGTTCATCCTCCCCAAGATCCTTGGCGAGTTTTCTTTCACGTATGGAAATCAGGTGGCGCGCCATTCTCAAAAAAGAACCCACCACCACCTGATTTCCGCTTTGCGGTGGTTGACGCAAGCGATACATGCGTTCCAACGCTCGAACAAATCGAAGCGCTTCTGGAATCTACACCTTACGACCCGCCCAATGAGGCTTGGAAGGGCCCTGGAGGACGCATGTATCAGCGACTGAAGCACGGACACCGCAACGTGCTGGTAGCGATTGTGGATCGCGGTCTTGTCAACTTTATGAGATTTGGCGAGGGAGCATTTGGAGAGGAGAGATTGTTTGAGAGATTTGATAATCAGGGCGGCCAGAGAGGTGGACCGAAGACAGGTCGTGGTGGAGGTAGAGGACGCGGTCGGGGCAGAGGCCGTGGTCGAGGACGGGGGAGGTGATGCCAGCCACAATGAAGAAAATGAATGCAACGACATCGAATGAATTGAAGTCAAAGTCTGATCGCTTTTGATTAATCTTTGAAACGGATCATGCAGATGAGCGGACGTGTGTCATGCTTGCTCATGGTGCTATAGTAAGAGTAATGTCGTTGGTTGACATGCTATACTGACAGACTAAATTAGCTGTAGCAGCCAACTACTCATAAACATCGTGAAAACTCATATTTACTTTCCTAAACTTATTGACAGTTTTACAATATCAGAACTTTGACTTTGAGCTGGTATACTTTGGCAGTTTCTTCTGGTCATGAATATCATATGCGGATCAACTACAAGAATACCACCACGAGTTGTGATAAGTGAACACATTTGCAGCCCTCATAAATTACACACAAGTGTATTTCAACGTGACAATGAGTCAGGTTTTACATTAAACAGGCAACCCTCGGCTAGGAACATCGACTGGTTCGCTTGTCTTCAAGTTCAACCAGTCGCAACTATGTGCTACCCGGGAGACGTTTCACAAACATGACAATTCCAACACAATTCCATTCGGTTACCGTCGAATCTCCGGAACACAAAACCCTCGCCTTGAACGAGAACGACAGTTGCGTTGTTCCAGAGACCGAATGTGCAGTTGTGGTAGACGAATCACATTGCGATTACAGCGAGACACTTTTGAAGAAGTTGACAACTCAACTTGACAGAAGTCGACCAACAGAAATGAGGGAATTAATGACAACACGGCATAGAAGACTCTGAAACTCAGACAGGCATATTATGATGATAGACAATGCAGAGAAGCATAATTGGCGCGACGCTGTGACTTGTCTTAACCACACAGCAAAAGAGTTGGTGATTTGCAAGACGTGCATAATTGGCAGAGAGGCACGGTAACTCATGATAACCAAACAGGACGAACCAGCGGTGGGTATTATCGGCTCCTATTCAACTGAGAAAGAGCCTAGGGAACGGGAGAAAACTTGCGACTTTTAATTCTCTGACACCCCAGGAGAGCCCAATTTTTCTTAATAATAAAATCTACAGGGGTTGTTGAATTGTCGGGACTTAGTGGGTGAGATGGGTTGATCGCGAAGACCCGGTTACGTTACGAGATTGGGAACTTTGACGTTGAACCTGATGACAAGCGAGTCATGTAATATGAGTTGAAGTTTCACAAGTCTTTTGAGGGAAAATATGTAGATGATCAGAGTCTTTTCGCACTTGGTGTCATTGTTGTGAGCATGTCCTGACATACTTATTCTTTCGTAAGCACTTGTACTAGATATCTTGCTTGATGACTGTCTCGGCGACCTCCAGATGTAGCAACGCTGACGAGAACTCAGTAATCAACTCGTGTAAGCAAAGAAGAGGCAAGATTCGAGAAGATTGGACGCGGGCGCTATAACGGCATAGAGCTATTTATCCGTCCTTAGCCCTGCCACTATGTGCGTTACTGTACAATTCTGTACAACCGCCGGTTGTTGAGATGAGCTGAGTTGAGCTAATGTCCGTTGGAGTTTCGAGGGTTGATACCCTTTTTCGTTTTCAACCTCGGCAGTTTCACGGTGTAATTGAGTTGTCGGCGAAGTTAACCATATGGTTATGAGTTTAAAGGGACGACTGTGCGTAACAGTACATCGAGGACATCAGCTATGCACGTGAGAGTACCCAAGAGATAAATTGGTTGATGACTCTCACAGGAAGCTGTACTGCAATAAAAGACGAACGATGCCCAAATTGCGAGGCGTGTATCAGCGTTTAGATAGGGCGTGCGTATAAGCGCGGGAACCATGAAGTTGCGAGATTACAGATTTTCCCGCAAAAGACTCGCTGTTCTCTATTGGCTGCCGCACAGAACTGGAACACAATGCTGTTACGTGATTGGCTCAAAAGGGTTGAGTATGTCATCATAATCATAACGTACTGGCACTATTCAATCAGCACATGCCTCAACTTTTCACTTTCCGGCATATGCAACATGAGAATATTGACTTTTTGGAGTGCTACCACAAGTCAAGGTTTCAAATTAACAACATGAAAGTGCCGAATTGAGCTAATTTTGCTGGCGATGAGGAGAAGAACGGGAGAGAAGTCGGGACTTGTGATGTGATGTGGAAGGGTTTATTGGCTTGAGCTTGTGACTATTGATGAAAATCGTGGCATCATTGTCGCTGTCAAGCCAGGCTTGTCTTGGCGCTGTGCTGCTGCTAGGGGGCGGTGTTGCGCTGGCTGGCTGAGTCGATCAGTCACAGAGGGTGGAATCATGCCTTCGATTAGTGGCAGGAGAACGAGTTATTGTATCATTCTGTAACCGGACAGTACTCGTTGCCAATTTGGAATCTCGTATCCTTGGCATTTCGCCTCCACGACTATTCACCGGGTCTTAGAGTTGAGAGAGCGGTGTCAGTGTATGCGTCAGTAGTTGTCAACTAGAACGATGCACAACCCGATAGGTGCCAATGAGGGGAATTGAAAAGACACATTGGAAGTGATGCGACATGATAAAGTTCAGCAAAATACAAGGGATTGTTGATTAGAGTTGCTGTATCGGCACATCGAGTCACATCGAGTACACAACTTGACAATACCTTATCTAAGAGACTGTGAACCTATGGGGGTGGCTGGTGATATTCAAAGGCGTGTATGTAATATTGCATGAGTTGGTCTAAAGCGTCCACCTATGACATGTTTCATGAGTGAACATTCGCAACCACAAGAAAGGGGACTCATCATCAGAGAAAGAGGTCAGAAAAGCCAGAGCAGAAATGATGATGAGTGAGCGAGTTGAAAAGCTAAACATGGTTGAAGGGGGGATGAAGGGTGGAAGCACTGATGGCTTATGCGAAACACCTCTCTATGGTCAACTACATAACTACCTTTCTGGCCAGCCATTCAAGCATGTTCATAACTGACCTTGAGTCACCTGATAAATGCAATGAGCCTTTGCGTTCCCACCTTGGTTCGTTGTTGCTGCTCTAGGTGCACCTAAGGGTGATGTTGAATCAAGGCTGGCAACTCTCATGACCAATCAGAGCAAGCCAGGTTGATGCCGCAAATCTCTAATAACGAAGAATGGCAAATCCAAGGCACACTCACTCACTCCAGTTCAGTGAGGGGTGAGCCAGGGTCTAAAGACCAAGAGCCAATCTTAGTTACAAAGGGAGAAGTTTAGAGAGTAATGGATCGATCACAACAACACTGCAGTATCGTGTCAGTGCTGATACAGTTGCAGAGTTGGTTTATGGCATGAAATACTCTCTCCTCTTAGGGCACAACTAATACAGTTTCCTTCTCATTGATTCATTTCGTAAGATTTAATCAAGGCATCTATTAATCCACTCTTTTCTTCTCCCGTTTCCACACAACTTCTCTTCCGGGCTCCCTGGCAATTCCGTTACGACGTAAGGTAACTGTTGACTTTTGCCTTAGCTCTTCGCAGGCCCCAC